CTTTGCTCGCAAGTTTGAGAGTAACTTCGAACGTGACCGGAATTCCGTTTAAAAAAAAGTTATTGTGTCACCTCTTGGTAAAATTTATCCAGTAGATCACAACAAACGGAGCTGTCTACTTATGCAAATATTTCATTTAGAAATTCGTATTCTTCAAGTTGTTATTATTACTATTATTATTATTATTATTATTATTATTATTATTATTATTATTATTATTATTATTATTATTATTATTATTATTATTATTATTATTATTGTTGTTGCTATTGTTGTTGAATCAGGCGCACTTATCTTATTGTGAGACGAACCGCTGGAACACTGATCCCAGAATGAGGAACCCAGACATTGCCGACCACTGGAGCATCACAACAATGAGGAACCCAGACATTACCGACCACTGGAGCATCACAACAATGAGGAACCCAGACATTGCCGACCACTGGAGCATCACAACAATGAGGAACCCAGACATTGCCGACCACTGGAGCATCACAACAATGAGGAACCCAGACATTGCCGACCACTGGAGCATCACAACAATGAGGAACCCAGACATTACCGACCACTGGAGCATCACAACAATGAGGAACCCAGACATTGCCGACCACTGAAGCATCACAACAATGAGGAACCCAGACATTACAGACCACTGGAGCATCACAACAATGAGGAACCCAGACATTGCCGACCACTGGAACATCACAACAATGAGGAACCCAGACATTGCCGACCACTGGAGCATCACAACAATGAGGAACCCAGACATTGCCGACCACTGGAGCATCACAACAATGAGGAACCCAGACATTACCGACCACTGGAGCATCACAACAATGAGGAACCCAGACATTGCCGACCACTGGAGCATCACAACAATGAGGAACCCAGACATTACCGACCACTGGAGCATCACAACAATGAGGAACCTAGACATTGCCGACCGCTGGAGCATCACAACAATGAGGAACCCAGACATTGCCGACCGCTGGAGCATCACAACAATGAGGAACCCAGACATTGCCGACCACTGGAGCATCACAACAATGAGGAACCCAGACATTACCGACCACTGGAGCATCACAACAATGAGGAACCTAGACATTGCCGACCGCTGGAGCATCACAACAATGAGGAACCCAGACATTACCGACCACTGGAGCATCACAACAATGAGGAACCCAGACATTGCCGACCACTGGAGCATCACAACAATGAGGAACCCAGACATTACCGACCACTGGAGCATCACAACAATGAGGAACCCAGACATTGCCGACCACTGGAGCATCACAACAATGCCTGAAACTCTACGGACTTTACAAAGCGAGTTTCACCCTTACAAACTTTTCCTTTTTTAGTTTTGGATTTGTGTGCTGTAGGAAGCCCAGCGTGTGTGTGTGTATGTGAGGGAATATTGCAGGATAAACACATCTCTTAGTGGCTCTGGGGATTATCTTCTCCACGGTTCGCTCTCGAACCAGGCCTCACGGGGAAGAAAATATTAGAGGATTAAGAACAATTACGAAGCACATGGGAAATTAAAGGTGTGTGAATACTGAATGTCAGTAGAAGTTTGTGAGATTTACCTGTCATTAGCAGTCCGTCCTGCAACAGTGAAAAAAAATCTAGCAGATTTTAGCTAGCGTTTGTTCCGGTTATGGAAACTCTCATAAATAATATGGTAGCAAAAACACTAGTGATGCCAATGATTTGTTAATAAAATCGTGTCAGTGAAATAAACCCACATCACAAGTTTACCTATAATTTCTATAAATTTGGTTTCTGTTAATATTTTTGTAGAGTAGATAACGCTGAGGCAGAAAACTTAATACTGCAACTTCCGCTCTGGCCCTTGATTATCAAACGGAAGAAAGATAACAGAGGATAACAGAGGATAACAGAGGATAAATTAGAACATAGACACATCTAAATGAAGATCAGATTTGTCGTAGCCTCTTGAATTTGAATCAGGGACAAGTAAACAGAGGGACTGACACAGCCAAAGAACATAGCAAAATACACCAGCGCTTAAAGTTTGACGCCGACCACAAGAGGTATTCGTAAATTATCCCACGAAATCCAACGAGTCCAAAAGCCGTAATGACACGAAGGTGAAGCACTCACGGAAGGAGTGGGATTTTAACCCCTGGCTAGCCTCTCCTGAAACTAGCAGACCAATAGTAGAAACGTCAGCAGCTACGACAAAGGCAGCAACAATAAGAGACACAACAACAGTAGATACAGCAGCAACTAAAACAACAACAGCAGCAGAAACACAGGAGAAACAGCAGCAGTAAGAAACAGCAGCAGCAACACTGGAAACAACAGCAGCGGCAACAACAGTAGAAGCAGCTAGTAAAAGCAGCAACACTGGAAGCAGCAGCATCAACAGTAGAAGCAGCTAGTAAAAGCAGCAACACTGGAAGCAGCAGCATCAACAGTAGAAGCAGCTAGTAAAAGCAGCAACACTGGAAGCAGCAGCATCAACAGTAGAAGCAGCTAGTAAAAGCAGCAACACTGGAAGCAGCAGCATCAACAGTAGGAGAAACAGCAGGGGAGCTGGAGGAGGAGGAGGTTGATGATACACAAAGAACTCGTCAACTGACTGAGGTAAACAAAGCCGTCCAGCTGATTTTCGAGGGACGCGGCTCTGTTCCTGACGACTCTTTGGGGGCTCTCAGTGAAAGGCTTTTGATCCGACGAATTGGATCTACTCTCCCCTTTCTTGAATCAAAACTTTTGTCGCTGATGCTAATAAAATAATAATAATAATAATAATAATAATAATGAGACGAAAGTAATAATAATAATAATAATAATAATAATAATAATAATACTCTGGTGCTAAGACGAGAAAATTTAATTCACCCTAAAATAAAAAGAAAACCAGTAGAGTTATACATGTATTTTACGAGTTTAAAACAAAATAAAATAAAATGAAATATATGGAGGCTTTCATGTTAACAAAATCCGTTCGTAAAATTGACAACGTTTTTAAAAAGAAAACACAAGGGAAGTCTTCTCAAAAATAATACTATATCGCCATCTTTTATTTTTCGGAATACTTAGGTATATATATTTAAAAAATAGCGAACTAATACCAATCTTATTGAAAAATATCGGTGTCAGGCTTTTGTTTTTTGGCAAGGTTTTAGGTCCCTGGAAGATGAGGGAAGGAAGAGAGTGGAGGAGAGGGAATGGGAAGGAAAAGAAGGAAAGGGAAGTAGGAGGAATAGGGGAAAATGGTGCGAGCGATAAAGAAGGGGAAGGGGAATGAAGTTCAGGATTTAAAATAGGGAAGGAGGGAGAAGGTATCCGGTAGTAAGAAAAGGAGCCACTCCCTCCACTATTAACTGGTAAGGACGTTCTTGTGTCAAGTTATGCGTGTGTAATGACTGTATCAACTTAAATAACATGGGTTGTATTTTATGCCTCATCTTAGACTCTGCTTTCAAGATATTGAACAGCAACAGCACCACAGGGAAAGTAATATCTTAAGAGGAGGTGTGTGTATACAGTCAGCAAGGTTGTACCGTAAGCTTCACCATTCATGGTAGTATTGGAGGTGTTGGGTTTAATGACTCTTACATGTGGCTGGCTCATCTGGCATTACACCGCGCTCAACTAACAAAAAACACACACACACACACACACACACACACACACACACACACACACACACACACACATATATATATATATATATATATATATATATATATATATTATATATAATATATATATATATAAATATATATATGTCGTGCCGAATATGTAAAACTGGTCAATTAGCAAGAACTCATTTAAAATTAAGTCCTTTCTAAAATTTTCTCTTATACGTTTAAAGATATATTTTTTTCATTATTGTTAGTGTAAACATTTTTAATTTGGTCCAAAAGAATCTTAGAAAACTTACCTAACCTTATTATAACAAGAACAATTTATTTTAGCCTAACCCAACTAAATATTTTTTAGATTTGTTTACAATAATTTAATACTAAACAAACACAGTGAAATATATTTTTTTCGTTAGGTTAAGAATGATTTTGGCGAAATTATTGCATACACAAATTTTTACTTGTCCTATATGGCAAGATGAGCGTTGTTATTTAAGCCAAGATCGCAAGTTCTGCCTATTCGGCACGACATATATATATTATTAATATATATATATATATATATATATATATATATATATATATATATATATATATATATATATCTTGCGAGATAATAAAATTGGTCAATTAGCAAGAACTTATTTAGAATTAAGTCCTTTCTAAAATTTTCTCTAATACTTTTAAAGATATAATTTTTTCACTTATGCTAATATAAAAATTAATAATTTTGCACCAGAAGAACCTTAGAAATCCAACTAGATTTTAGATAAGTTTACAATACTTTAATAATAAACAAACACAATTAAATATATTTTTTCGTTAGGTTCATAATGATTTTTGTGAAATTATTGCATACACAGACTTTCGCTTGCCTTTTTCGGCAAGAAGAGCGTCGCTATTTAAGCCAAAATCGCAAGCTTTACCTATTCAGCATGACATATATGAATAGTAGTTATCTCGATTTCTTTATTGGCACCTAACTAATCCACCTAAGTAAATTGTAACATTAGAATGTTGTTGTTGTGTTATGTATTGAGTTCTATAATTCTGTTTCAAACAATTTTCTTTGTACGCATTATTCCATTTATTGTCTGTTAAAATTAGTTAAATTGGGCTAACTGGCTGTACCGTAAACAAACCAGACCTGATCTAAATAACTTATGAGGAGAAACAAGCTTAAGCAAATTCATAAGCAGATTACTCTGGCTTGACGAGAACAGGCTGTTAGTTGAAGGGTCGGCAGTACATGGAGATGGCTGTAGGCAGCAACATCGTCTTTAATGCCATCTGTTATTGCGAGGGAGAACTATTCTCTCAGAGGTGTTGGGGCATTGTTGCCTGCACTTTCACGTGTGTGTGTGTGTGTGTTGTCTCGTTGCCACAAATATCTGGTGGTGTTGTGGTGCTCCTTCCAGTAATGAGAGTTGTGGTACTGCTCTTATTTTCCTTGGCATGGAAAAGGGAAATGTAGTGTATTTGTGTAGTGTCAAGTGTTACCGGGATTCCAGGGTTTATAATGGAGGTGTGTGCTGTTAATTGTAAGTGTTGTATCCGTGTTGTTATTAGTTATCATTGATCATTATTTGTGGCTTAGAGGAGAGAGATGAGACGGGAGGGGGGGGGGTACTCTGATGATCATCATCATGAGTAAATGAGTGATGGTGAGTAATAATAATAAAGATTATAATATTTGATAGAATATATAACGATATAATATGATATATAACAGAATATATTTTGATATGAGGAAAAGTCGGTTAATGTGGTTTAAACTTATCGACTACACAAAGGTCATTAAGGCTACTTGTAAACTGGTTCACCACTAGTCAAGAATACCTGAATAAACCTCTCCAGGTATATATATTCACTTGTTTATTGTACACGAGAGAGAGAGGGGGGGAGGGAGGGGGGGAGGTACAATCTACATAAACGACATAGATGAGGGAATAAATAGCGACATAAGTAAATTTGCTGATGCCACCAAAATAGGCCGTCTGATTCATTCTAATGAGGACACTAGAGCACTCCAGGATGATTTGAATAGACTGATGCAATGGTTGGAGAAGTGGCAGATGCGGTTTAATATTGACAAATGCAAAGTTCTAAATGTTGGACAGTTAAATAACCATGCCACATATAAACTAAATAATGTAGATCTTAGTACTACTGATTGCGAAAAGGATTTAGGAGTTCTGGTTAGCAGTAATCTGAAACCAAGACAACAGTGCATTAGTGTTCGCAATAAAGCTAACAGAATTCTTGGCTTCATATTAAGAAGTCCTCAGGTTGTTCTTCAACTCTATATATCCTTGGTTAGGCCTCATTTAGACTATGCTGCTCAGTTCTGGTCACCGTATTACAGAATGGATATAAATGCTCTGGAAAACGTACAAAGGAGGATGACAAAGATGATCCCATGTATCAGAAATCTTCCCTACGAGGATAGACTGAGGACCCTGAATCTGCACTCTCTAGAAAGGCGTAGAATTAGGGGGGATATGATTGAGGTGTATAAATGGAAAACAGGAATTAATAAAGGAGATGTAAATAACGTGCTAAAAATATCTAACATAGACAGGACTCGCAGCAATGGCTTTAAATTGGAAAATTCAGATTCAGGAAGGATATAGGAAAGCACTGGTTTGGTAAAAGTTGTGGATGAGTGGAACAAACTCCCAAGTACCGTCATAGAAGCTAAGACGTTGTATAGTTTTAAAAATAGGTTGGATAAATGCATGAGTGGATGTGGGTGGGTGTGAGTTGGACCTGACTAGCTTGTGCTACTAGGTCGGAAGCCGGGCTCCTCCCTGAAGTGACGTGTCTGACTTCACTAGGTCAAGGCGTTAGATTAAGCCGGTGGGAGAATTGGACCTGCCTCGCATAGGCCAGTAGGCCTTTTGCAGTGTTCCTTCTTTGTTCTTAAAATATATACACCGAGAGGTAGGTGTGTACGTGTGTGTGTACGTGTGTGTGTACGTGTGTGTGTACGTGTGTGTGGTGTGTTGGGGGTGTACGTGTGTGTGTACGTGTGTGTGTACGTGTGTGATGTTCGTGTGTGTTACGTGTGAGTGTTTTACGTGTGTGTGTACGTGTGTGTGTACGTGTGTGTGTACGTGTGTGTGTACGTGTGTGTGTACGTGTGTGTGTACGTGTGTGTACGTGTGTGTACGTGTGTGTGTACGTGTGTGTGTACGTGTGTGTGTGTACGTGTGTGTGTGTACGTGTGTGTACGTGTGTGTGTACGTGTGTGTGTACGTGTGTGTACGTGTGTGTGTACGTGTGTGTGTACGTGTGTACGTGTATGTGTACGTGTGTGTGTGTACGTGTGTGTACGTGTACGCTAAGAGTTGAATTACACCTCAGCCTTAGGCAGTAAAATATTGACTGGTGAGCACGCGACATTAGGCCTTAATAACACTCGTGTAGTCGATAGGCTTGTAACCTCCATTTAGTCAACCAGTGAATATTTACATTGTTATTTAGGGTTGGAATGTGTTAGTTATTTAAGGTCAGTATCCAGGGTCAATATAGCACAGTATATCATGACGCACTGAAGCAAAATATAAAAAACCCTCTATCTCTTTTTTTCTCCCTTTCTCACTTTCTTTTTTTCCTTTCTCCTTTTCTTCCCCTTTCTAATATATATATATTTATTTATATAATTATTTATTTATATAATTATATTCTCTTTATCTCTCTTGGTATCTCTGTACCTCTTTGTATCTTTTTGTACCTGTCTCATTTTACCTGTATCTGTATTTCTCTCTCTCTCTCTCTCTCTCTCTCTCTCTCTCTCTGATACACAAACAATGGAGGTGATATACACAATACTTCAGAGGTATATTAATCCCTCCCGTTGAGATCAATCCTGGGAGACAGCGTCAGGCTGTGAGGAGTCCATGACAACCTCCTTTCCCTAAACCCTCAGGGGCTTCTGTCACTAGATTCCCTCCTCCTCTCAGACAACCTTCAAAGGGAGAGGAGGGGGGATACCATTATGCTGGTGAAGGGCACTTGGTCATTGAAGTTAGGGAGGGATATCCCCCTTCTCCTTTTATTAAACCAAATTACCCCCCACTTTCTAATGGTTTTGCATGGCTCCTCACGGGTTTAGCACTATCATATACTCCGCCAAACGAGCCTGGCCCATGGCCGGGCTCCGGAAGTCTAAAGACACTCTGAACTTGTCCAAGGTATATTAGAGGTTAAGGTATGTCACTCCAACAGGCTCACTTTCAGCGCAGAGTATCTTTTTGGGCGATGTCTGACCCATACGGGTTTAGTGATTGTGAATTTAATGAAAATGACAAAAATGTGATTGACAATATGCCGTAGGGAGGTTGTGCGCGAGGCATCTGTCTCCGCATTGCCAGATAATAGTGTATTAGTGTTAGTTGCCAGGAGAAAGCACTAGAAAGCTAGGCAATATAACCGGTTAAATTCTTGGACAGAATTGTTAGAAAAGTGTTGGTGTGGAGGATATGTTCTGGAACAACATTGTATTAGTGTGGAGGGTGTGTTCTGGAAGATTATATTAGTATGTTGGTGTGGATGGTGTGTTCTGGAACAACATTATGTTGGTGGATGGGTGGTGTTTGTGATTTTCTGGAAAAATTTGTTGGTGTGGATGGTGTGTTCTGGAAAAACATCGTGTTGGTGTGGATGGTGTGTTCTGGAACAACATCGTGTTGGTGTGGATGGTGTGTTCTGGAACATATTAGTATGTTGGTGTGGATGGTGTGTTCTGGAACAACATCGTGTTGGTGTGGATGGTGTGTTCTGGAACAACATTTAGTGTGTTGGTTTGACTCGTGTTCCAGGCAGCTCTGTAGCTACCATTTATCGTACAACCATCTTTAACGTCTGGTTACCAGCGAATTAGACCACATCATTGTCGCATTTGTTTCTGCCGCCACTTTTACTCTGCTAAATATTGCCGGGTTAATATATGTAAATTTTAGTTCGTGTTAATGTAAATTGAAGGATACTGAAGACTGGTAAAGTGCAGTAGACTAAAGCGGACACATTAAGTGTCCGTGGTTCGATCCCTTACGCCTGTTGTCCCTGTTCACCTATCATTAGGTAGGTACCTGGGTGTTAGTCGACTGGTGTGGGTTGCATCCTGGGAGACAAAACTGAAGGACCACAATGGAAATAAGACGGTCCTCGATAACACCGACTTTCTTGGCTTATCCTGAGTGGCTAACCCTCCGAGTTAAAAATCCCAACAAATTTCATGTCATAACATTGACACAAAGACCTGTTGTGATATACTTGGCTACTCTTTCCGGCTTCAACTGGCGCAGGACATACATTTTTTTCCATACCAGTTGTACTTAACTGCGTGTGGTTGAGGGGGTCGAGTCACGGCTCCTGGGAACATGGTAAAAGCAGCAAGTTCTAGGTGTGTCTTGTTTTGTTAAACTGTTGGTACACATTGTGTAACGGATGAGGAGGAACCTGATAATATATTAAGCTCTTTCATTTTTCATAGAAAATTTGAATAATTCGTTCCTTCGTGATATAACGTCATTTTAACTAACCTATGTAATGTTAATTCTTAATGCTAAGGTTGGTCTGGTTAGATCGGATTGTTATTAGTACTATTATTCATATCCCGAAGAGTATGGTAAGTCTATTTCTGCATCCTAATTATAGACAGTGGTAGTTATAATAACTTTAATTTTTTAAAAGGGGTGGAGGGGTAAGCCTGTGGAAGGCCTCGGTCAGATGACTAAAAGTTCCAGGTGCGGGTCATCATATGACTAAGACCCGCGTCAGGAAATACTTGCCCTGTTTCCTGACAAACCTTACCTTCCCATTTGTATCCTTCCCCAGGCAGGAAGTCGGGGAGCAGAGGTGAACCCAAGAACTGAAATTCAAAGCTTCTTAAATACTAGATCTGTACAACCCAGAGAGCACACAAGTGCACGTAATCACGTCTAGGAGGTATTGCGTTCTACATCTACTATCATGGAGACTCAGACGTATAAACACAGATCTGTTAAAAGTTTCTCTTATTGGTAAAAGTTAGAAAGTAATCTTAGAGACACAAGAGGATCTCTCACTCTTAGAGACACAAGAGGATCTCACACTCGACACGTCAAGTCAGTAATATGTTTCATGGGAGGAAGGTGCTGACTTTGAGTGCTCAGAGCAGCACAAGAAGCACTGGTGACCTCGAGGCGCTCACAGAGTGCTTGCATTAGATCACCAAACCCTCAGTTCAAACATGGTTCACTCAGGATTATCAAGGCGAGTGGCTACGTTGAGAAACCTCAAGATGCCTTATTAAACTAATATTCAATCTGAGAAATAAACACACATCTTTAAAATAAGTAATGTGAGACGTGCATTTGTAAACATAAACGCATTAAAACTGGTAATATGAAATGTTCATGTGAAGACATAGGTATGCGAGGTTTTAAGCATGGCGAAGGACTCTTGATCTAAGGGATTGGAGTTACCCTTCCCTCTCCTCCCTCGAATTAAACCTAATTACTTCCCATACCTCAAGGGTTTTCCTTCGTTTTGGAAA